TAGATCAGCCCAGTAGTAATTGTAGCCGTCAGGGCCGTCGAGGTTCCACTTCTTTTCGTCAGACCAAATGATCTTGGAGAATTGATCGCCCCAGTCACGCGCCTCAGACGCCCACAGCACGCGTGCTTTTTCGTGGGCTCGTGTCATCATTGGCGCAGCAATTCGCTTCTTGTATTTGAGTTTTCCGCTAATGTTGAGGAGCTGGCACACACGGCGAGGACCCACTGGCATGGAATGCCGATCGACGAGCTCGGCCGCGGTGAACTTGCCACTTCTTGCCGAGCGGATGAGTCGTCGGTGCAGAGCACTGCTTATGGTGGACGGACGTCCCGTCGATTTCGCAGTCCCGTAGGCTGCTGGATTGTCCAGGAATCCTTGGATGCAGCCTCGGGACCGTCCCAACTCATTGGCGATGAAGTTGGTGGACTTGCCTTCCCGACGATGAACGAGAACCTCGATCTTCTCGTCTTCGGTCAAAGGATCGCCCTTTGGCATTGAGTTGATGTCTAGAGTGTGTTGTGTTGTGAGTTTGACTTGTAGGTGTAGTCTGTGTGTGAATTACCTTCGATTTGGATGCGTTTTGTGCCTCAAAATGGGAAATGGTGGTGACTGTCATATCATTATTTCCCGCCCACATTTGAACTCCCGCCGTTTTCTCGATCCCCATGCCTCCGATCGTCAAATCGCAGTCGTCACTGGACAGACATTTGCTGTCTTTGTGATTGGTTAAAATTATATTGCATTTAAGCTAATCACACATGAGTAACAACTGGATTCATGGGGTGTCATATCATTATTTCCACCACTTTAGTCATTCTCGGCTACCTGTAGTGGGAAGTGCATAGGGCCCCAAAGGCCCCGGTTTCACAGTCAATACTATCTTTTTCTTTTCTTTTTTCCAGATTGACCAAGCCTTAAAGTAGCGATCAACGAAAGAGCTTCCGCCGACAGAATTGCGGCACATCTGCGTAGCGGAGGTTGTGTGTATAATTTTGTACAGGCGGTGCCTTGGCGAGGAGTAAGCCCCAATCGTGAACTTTACCGAATGTCCAATCGTTTCATCTTGTCGGGAAAAGCAGCGTCGAACATGTTATACAGTTTTTATATTACTCCCTCCGTGTCACTATAAGTGCGCGACTCAGAAAAATAAAGTATAACGTTACCTCCTCGTATAAAAATACAAAACACTCCAAGATCCTACCTATAACGATCATGCACTTATAAAGGTGTAACGATAGCCCAATCATAACAATCAAAATGCATGTCTCAGGACCAATCCCGTGGCCGGGTGGCAGTTGTACTTGGCTGCGAGTGTTTGACTGAGGCCATTGGGAAGCCTGACCAAGTAGCTGACGTTGTTGTGCAGCAGCACTTCACGGAGTATGGCCTCGCGCTCGCTGTTCGTCAGGTTGCGCTTTTTGATGGTCATTCCTGAATGTTTGTCATTCCGAGTGTTGTTTTATATAAATTGTTTTATTGATGTATTGAAATCATCACAGCGCCTTTATTTCGTTGAATTTTCCGCTCGAAGTTGGAGCAAATCGGGGGTTTTGGCACTGGCTTTCGAATGGTCCAATCGGAGCGACTAATTTTGAACCCAAGAGGGCGATTTCGATTGTCAAAAACGTTAGTTGCACTTCTAAATTTAGCTACTTTAACACTTTATAAATGTACTATTATTAAGAGGTTCTGAGGATTTCGTCACCCAAATCAGGCATACATTATTAAAGTGACTTACTGGCCAGGAATTAAATTCACATACCGGTAGGAAAATTTCAATTTTAGAAATCCAACGAGCAAATTGACCATGCGATACAAATGATGCGACCTGCATAAAGTTATAAAGCTCTTCACGATCTTCAAAATGCATATTTTCGCAGCCTCATCGGTTTATATCCAATCCAATGGCTTCATTCTGTAATGAGGAGTTTTCATTGGATATGATTATATTCAGCCAAAGGATCAGGAAACCACCTTGATGTTGCCCAATACAAAGTTCAACTTGTATGTTAGCGTTATTATAATGCGTTCAAATTTAATGTAGAATTGACAGTGAGTTCATGTATTAAATATAATGCGTCATGACACCCCAGGTATAATACTTTGTAAATAAATATTCCATACATACAAAACTAAGATACAGTATTACTACCGTTCGCAAAATAAAAAGCCAAAAAAGTTTCACCAATTCTTTAACGTAACGCTATAATTTCAAAATACAAATCGATTATTGGGATATTTCAGGCATTTCTTGGCACTAAAAACCGCAGCTGGATTTATATTTTCCAACGCCACTCTTAGATTTTTTTTATTCGAGGGACATTTTGTGGTAGAGTGCTTCAAACATTTACATTTCAGTGCACAAAAGCGTTCGCGATATTGATGGTTTACCTTAAAACTTTGTCAGAATTATGGTGCAAGAAGCCTAGAAACGACGATATTTTGAGCACTTTTTGGAGTGTTATACCATGTGCAGTATTATTCTTTCTGGCAAATTAGCCACAAAAACGATAGATCTCGACAAAACGAATCGATCATGTGGTTTCAATTCACAATTGACGAAGAAATGAAAGAGCTATTTTAGTTTAACCTATCGACTTGCTGCAACAGAAATATATGGGCTCGGACGAATTTTGGCCACCCCATCCATCTTGACGTTTGTATAAATCAATTATCCGTACAATCTATCCGTACATTCATTGAGTTTAACCTATGTTTATCCTATATTTAACGTGGTAAGGCACTATTTACAGTTAACGTTCATCAAGTAGGTTTACCCCAAAATCTATAGGTTAAATAGAAAAACGTAGGTAATAGAATTTGGCCTAAGGGTCGTGTCTACTGTAGCTCTTGCACCATACACAAATTCAGTGCACATGCCTTACTAGTACAGTTAGGTAGTACAAAATCCTAAAATGCATCCATTTTTGATTCCATCACGTTTCCACAATGCAAAACCCACTGGTCGGGGTATGACTGTAGGCATGTCTTGCATAATGCTGTATAACTCTGGAAAGAAATATAGGGAAATCTCTGTAAAATGGTACAGATGTAACTAACAGTGTAAGCATCGTTGTTTGGTGATGTTCTTGAGATCAGTAACAACAATGAAGTCTTCTGTACCAGTATGATCTAGAGGTCTATTAATGCATGCCACTCGCAAAATCGAGTAACGATGTGGTTAATGGGGTGTCGGAATGAGTATCTTGTCGGAATATTCATGCTATTGGTATGTATAAAGTCAGTTTACGTATACAAACAATGATTTGGCGAATAATCAGCACACAAATCCAAAATTTGGTAGCCCAGTACTAGTACTAACGTTACTGTAGTATGGATAGTACTGTAGTATGTATGTTCGTACTGGTAACGTTTGTGGTAAATTTACTCGGACTACCCTGTAACGTACTTCGAAGTACTAGTATTTAGATTTGGACAGTGGCTACACGTACTACTGGTAGTACAATAATCAAGTGAGGGTAAGATCTTTCCTGCTCCAACAAGGCATATATATCTATACAATATCAATTTGTAATTACACTGTATGCAGGGCGGACCTGTCTTTGCAGTGCGTGCGTGGGAGCGAGGACATGACTTACTGTATAACTTAGTACAGTGTACACCTGATAGACTTCTGCACGATTGACAGCTTGTGCTTGTGTGGTACAGTACGTCGTGTGCTATGGAATTCATGAATTCATGGCGGAAAGGGGTGGAGCTGTCTGTGGCTGGTACTTACAGTGAGTACATCCTTGGAACATGTTGAAACGTCCACTTGAAACGAGATCTGAAACCGATCACGTTGAACTGTCGATGTCCACATACTGTATTGACGGGGTTTTCATAGTCTGTGAATAAACTCTACAAATATTCCAACACGATTGGTTGTATCGAAGCTTGTTTCTTCACCTTGCACTGACGTCAGGCCGACTGCACCTGAGATGATCCTGAGATTGCCTCTATCATTGAATACCTGTACAATCGGATGTTGAATATCGAATGCGGACTTCATATTTGTATCTCCAAACCTGCATAAATACATACTATCGGCCTGCGCGTTTTGGAATTCCAGTCGCGGCCTCACTTGGCAATCATCATCTTCGTCCACGATCAAACATGCTGAGCGATCGGATTCTCGTGGAAACCACCAACGACCAAGTGGTCGTGACCCTTCGAGCTTACTCCACTCCCTTCCGAGTCGGTACCCTCATTACCGCTGGCACCGCCGCTACCTTCGGGGTGCTGTGCATCTGCCTGACGCCGACGACTCTGTTCATTCTGGGCGTGTGCGCAGCGTTCATTGCAAGCACGGCAGTGTTTGTTGGGGTGCAGTGGCTTGTGTATGGCTTCGAACAATTCACGGTGGCCGCGTCCACATTGACGTATGAATGGGGTATCCCTGGAACCGGGCTTGGGAGCGCCACCGCGTTCAACGCCGACATCATGGGGCCCATCCAGATCCATGCCGATGGCGCACTGGGGTTCACATACCAAGGCCAAGTCGTTCGAGTGGGAAAAGTGTTGCGGGCGCGCGAAAAGTTGGAGTTCTTGGACCTCCTCCTGCTCCACCTTCCAGCCCGCCTCGTGAGTGTCCCTCCCGTAGCCATGGGCGATGTGTATTACCCCGTCGATGGGAAACTCCCAGCGGCCCCGTCGTCGAGTGTTGTGCCATCTCAGGCGCAACCGCCGTTGGCGCCAATCCGCGTGACCGCTACGCCTGCTGAAGCCCATATATAACCACCGCTTTACCATATAGTGTGTGCGTCGCCAAAAGGAAGGGCCAGCAGTGTATTAATAACATAACACTTTATCGCATTCGACATCTTACATGTGACGTTCAGTAGTACGACTAATAATATTGTCGTTTTACAGTTAACTAGTTATTGGAGATTCGGTATGAATTCCCGGACCCCGTTCAATCGAATCTCGCCGACCGAATCCAGCAACAATCTCTCCCATTGGTCAATCCGAAATTACTTGTCGCTGATTGGCTACAATACATTTTCGAGTTTCTACTGGAAAGGACGAAGTGGATAATGGCCAATCAGATGTCTCGGCTCTATTTGTGCTCGATAGAACGAACCATGCAAAATTGGGAAATTTGAAGAAAATCGACAATACCCAAAGTTGGGCTTTTGTGCTCCAGTTTAGAATCAACACAACAATACATACTATGAACCGAACGACAAAGAACGTTCTACTGGTAGGCAAATTGGATGAACTATCGTGGTATGTACCAGCCGGTATACTAGGAACGTTAAGGAGGAGGCCGAAGATTCTGCTCAGAAGGTAATTATTTCTATAGCGAAACGTAAACGTTCTCCGATTCTTGCCCCCATATTATCATTTCTTGCCCACTTTCATTTTTCACCGTAAAGTTAATTCAAGTCAAACAATACGTGAATTAACAGTAAAAGACCTTGTCCCACTTTTTGGTAGAAAAAGGAAGACTTAAAATCATGTTGAAAATCGTATTGATGTCGATGGAAAATGAGCTAATCGAGTGAAAATATCCATACGCCGAAAACAGTTCCGAGCCTTTCTTGATTTTATCCAGTTACCTCTCATAACGCAAATGAAATTGAAGCTTACTACAGTAGTAGTCACGGAACTGCGCCCAAAAAGCTAAGGGGTCAAAACGAGGGCAATGATTGATCGTTTAACTGTAAGTCATTCGAAGTACTCGGGAATGTATTTCTATTTTTATACGGACGTTAACTCCCAGTGTTAAGACGTACGAATGAACTAATTTGTCTGAAAAATTGTTTACTTAAATCAAGAGAAGAAATCTTCATGAAATTTTATTGAGCGACATGAGGAGGGGCGATTCTGTACTGTCTATATTTAGCTCATTATATATTTACTTACGACTTAGACGTATTAATATTAATACGTCAAAATATACTTATTCGTCTTGGACGTACTTAAAATGGTCCTAGGGGAGTTAATGTTGGTATGTGATTCGACTCGTACTTGATGTCATCAGCTTCAGACGACTTTGCTGTCTATGATGTGTCGCGTTCGTAGATTGGCGTGCGGTGCACTACTGTACGTCGTACGACAGTGGGAAGCACTACTATTAATAGCACGAAGTAGTAGTTTTAGGAAATACTTACCAACGTTTGCACTGTAGTACCGTGTAACGTATATAGATTTGGACAGTGGCGGGCCAATTATCCGGATACGGATAGTGTCCATTTACAATAATCAAGTGTAATAATCCAACTATATAATTTTACAGAGGAATATATAATTTTATAGATGAGTCCAAATCTATATGACTGTCTAAACCTATGTACGCTACACGGGTACAGTAATACAATCCCTTGTCAGTATACAACTACGTAATAAGCTAAATATGGAATACAAAGCTCGTGCGTTTTCTGTACTACCAGAGTTGCCTATGATGCCTAGGCTTCTCTCCATTCTCGGTCGATTATGATTTCCATAAACCAACTCGCACTGTCCGTACATACCGTACGTTGCGTACCCGATCCAAGGCGTAGTAGTAATATAAGATTAATTGTAAATAAATAGAAACGACCAACTAACTATACACTTCACAGTCGCGCGACGTCCATTTGCTGTAGCCGGTGCAATAGCTCCACTGCCGTGGGTCGTAACATTGGATCAAACTGAGTGCAGTCATTCAAAAGTAGCGCAATCGGCGGCGGACACGACGAGGACGGCGCCACTTTGATCTGGCCTTGCATGATTTTCATCACAACCGCCATGGGCACCATCACGTCGCCAAACTCTGTCGTCATGCCATCAAATGGAACTTTGTGGGTGTCCAATTCCGACAAGAGCATTCCTAATACAATATCAATCATTGAACACAAATACATCCACGGTACAGATTCTATCAAGTTATTACTCGAGTCAGTCAGCTGTGGTTGATACTAATTGATTATATATAAATTACTTGGAAGTTCGCAGTATTGAACCAAAAGCTGAAATATATTGACAAAAGCACAGCTATTTATTTCACCACGTTGAAGCCTTCGATACTCACGTTTACACAGTAGTAACGAATGGATCAACACTCTTGAGTGTCTTTTATCGAATCGAATACATATACATATATATATATATATATATATATACAGGCAAGTGTGAAAGGACCCAAATGCATTGCTTTCTATTATTTTCACTTTTGTTTTCGACGAACATGACCAAATATATATATAATTCGAAATAGGATTGGGGCTGCTCCACTCGTAGGACAGTATAGTAGTATACCAAATCGACAGCCAATCAATTGATCGACCGATCAAAACCCACCACACGAATCAAATGGCCAATCTAATACCCACTTTAACCATTCAAATTAAAATAGTAATACGAACAATCGATTGGATGGTTTTGGTGAATCTGCACAGAAATATCCACACTTTTGGCTGAAAGCACAATACAAGCAACGTACCAAAGCTGTAAATGTCGGCAGCCACAGTGAGCTGGCCCCCCTTGAGAACTTCCGGAGCAGCCCACATAAATGTACCAACTTCGTGGCTCATAGTTCGAGACACGAGTTCCCTGGAAATTCCAAAGTCCGACAGCTTGCTGGGCTTGTGGGTATCCAGGAGCACATTGCGGGACTTGAGATCTCGGTGGATGATGTTTTGGTCGTGGAGGTACACCAGCGCGGCTGCCACGTCATGAGCACATTGTACTTTGCGGCTCCACGGCATGGCCACGTGTATATCCAGATGGTCTTTTAAATCGCCCAAGTTCATGTACTCGACAACTAGATGCACCGCATCGAGCGAGTGCCAGCACGCGCCAATGAATCGCACGACGTTCGGGTGCTGGAGCCTAGTAAAACTTGGTCAATTACAAGATGATGATGATATGATCGTCAAATCCGTTTATATTTGGACTTTATAGAGTCGAATCGAATCAAGTTGAGAACGTCATAGCGAATCAAAGGACACGAACGAGACATTTTCAACCAATCATCGATTGGATTCAAATCATACTCGAAATTGGACTAAGGTGCTGCTCAATCGAACGAGCAGCAGATCGATGTATCGACCAATCAAAATCCAGGTTACGAATCAAGTAGCCAATCCTAGTTAACATTGAATTCGTGTATGACTTGAATTAGTGTGACACGGGGGGATTTTTTCATACAAAAGTCAGAATACTCGATCGATTTGGCAAAGAATCCGCATAAAAGTCCAAAGTTTGGGTAATAACAACAGGACAATTGATTGACGATAACTTATCAAATAGGCAGTAAACGAATCCAAAGTGGACGGCATATATATGACAGACACAAAGTCGTACTTGGCCATTAACGTAACTTCGTTAATAAAACGCTGGACAGACCCTGACGTGCGAATTCGACCTTCTACCATCGACTTCACCGCCACTTGTTGTTGGTTGAACCTGCCAAGCCACACGGAACCAAAGCCACCTGTGGCCTACAACCATCGATTAACGCAACCAACTAACTAACAACTCTCGTCCTCACCAGTCGCGTGGTGCGCTCCACGAGGGCGATATCCAATCGGTATGCTTCCAGGTCGTGCCAGTCCAGCGGCACACTGGGGCGATACTCGAGCATCCACTCGGTGGTTTCCACGGGCATAATGGAGCCTTGCTGGCCCATTACGTGGAGAAGACACGACGAGAACGGCGCCTGGACAGCTCGGGGATTCGTACCGCGTCGTTGTTCGGGTGCGTTTTCAGACACGTACACTAGCCGACACCAGTATGCCACCATGCCGACGATGCCTAGGACGATGCCCAGTGTAATGCCAACCATCACCCCTAGCTCCATGGACCCTTGATTCTCATACTCTGGTCGCTCTATCGGCACAAGGACGCCATCGAGGTTGCCACTGCTCATCTCTTCAAAGAGATGGCGATGGATGGCCCGTTGCACCTCCAATTGTGTCGAACAATGGCTAACGTTGATTGGTCCAATTCGGTCAACAAACCTCAAATTGCCCCGGCGCTTGAACAATACAAGGGTTTTGCACTGGAGCATTAGGCAATTCCATGCTATTTAGGACATGTTTGGATACAGAAATAGGATCAACCATCCAATATGTCGGATCAGATGGTGGCTGAGCCAGGTGCCAAGGACGGAGGAGGACTACAAACCTGTCATACAGTTACTCCAGTACACTGTACTACAGTACTACTACGTAGTAATAACTACTACTTTTAATTAATAGTACTAAAGTTAGTACTGACTCCGGAGTACAGTACAGTACTACAGTATGTAGTACAGTATTAATAGTTCGTGGAGTTACTATGTACTAGTACTTCGAAGTACTACAGTACTGTACGTAATTAAAAGTACAGTACTGGTACATGTAAAGATGGCGACGATTTTACGACTCCAGGAAGCATGGATCAACGGACAGACGCAAGCCAACTTGGCCGCTAAGCTTACTGACGTTTGTGGATTGGTATATGCTTGTACCTATGTTTGTAAACTGCACTGTACCAACTTGGCCGCTAAGCTTACTGACGTTTGTGGATTGGTATATGCTTGTACCTATGTTTGTAAACTGCACTGTACCAACTTGGCCGCTAAGCTTACTGACGTTTGTGGATTGGTATATGCTTGTACCTATGTTTGTAAACTGCACTGTACCATTGTGCGACAAGAATAGTAGTACGAATTACAAATTGAATGAATACAATGAAATCTGGAGGCTAAACCATTTCCCAGCATAACCTACACCACATGGTCGTGGTCGTGTCACGTTCCCGTAGTGTTTACGCTAACTACGGTGGTAGTCTATTTGATGTCTAAATACGTCACCAGAAACTCATATTTACCCTTCAATACCAAGGCATATGTCCGATTTTACTTTGATTTTACTATTCGAGAGCAGAATATTCACGACGTCAAATTAAACGATTGGTGAGTTCTTCACGGTAGCTGCCGCCAGTGTGACAACATCAAGCAATCCAATTCCATGCCAGAAGCCCCGACAAACGTCGGCGAGGCAGATCGGCAGCCCCTGGTGGAAGGGGAACCGTGCGATACCAACGGGGCATGCAAGTCGAGATGCTGCTCTGGACTGCACAATGTATGCCTAGCCAACAGCACACTCGGTGCCAACGCTACGTCGTCCCCCGAGTCGTGTTTAGTCGACTCGACCACCCTGCCCCCAACCACGACCAAGACTTTCCACACATGTACCGTTGACACATGCGTTCAACTAGAGGTCATCATGACTGCGTTCGTAGTGGCGCAAGACCTACCTCGAAATGCCACGTTCTACATCGGTGTCGGCGTCGGTGTGGTCGTCGGCATCGCAATCCTCGTGTTGTTCGTGTGGCGTACTTCCAGGCCAGACCCGATCGAAAAGTACGTCGACATGTCCACTACAGACGTGGTCACGATGAACGGCAGCGATCGCCCGCGCACACGACACGCTAAACCACCAGTAATGTTGCACTGCTAGATCCACTAACACCAGCCATGGACTCATTCGACTGACTGGTGTTCTTTGCATATCTCTCCAGGTTGCCGCTGCTGCCTTGGTGTTGTCGGACGCAGACAAAGCCTGCCTCGAAGCGTTTCGTTTAGACGGCTCCAAACTCGAACTCGATTTACATTTGGTAAAACATACATACTTTCAATATATATATATATACTACTTAGTAGTATTTATGTATTTTTATATAGTGTTCGTGGCATGAATTGTTTTTTTTAGGTCTTTGTTTCTTGTATATATTTTTAATAAATGTTGTGTATTCAAACGTTTTTGTCGAGCTATTGCTAAATATTTTAAAAATTTAGAACAGGTCAATCATGTTTCTTTTTTTTATTCAACATATATATATAGAATATATATATATATATACTACGTAGTATATTATATAATGTTCATTTCGCCATCTGAAATCTCGCTTATTGCGGATTGGCGACAATAATGCTTTTTGTGTGTTTTTGTTTTCAACAGAATCATACAGTACTATTGTGAATTCGCTATAAATATCCAAAATTCGCCTGGTTTGTCGAATCAATATTGAATTACGCTGGAGTTCTGATTGGTTGATATATTTGTCCTTTCTGCAAGAGCCTATCAAATCCACTCAAAATTGGATTAGCCAATAGCGTCGATTCGTGATTCGATTCGGCGGCGAGATTCGATTCCACGGGGTCTGGAAATTCGTATCGAATCCACAATAACGTTATGTCGACTCTTTTAATACATGTACTTTGAAGCCAACTCGTACATCATAAAACGTGAAACCACCTGTAGCCAAAATTTAGCATACTGCAAAATGGATATCTCCTGTTACTAAAATAACCATATAAAAAAAAAAATATGACATAAATCTAGATAAATGGGGGCCATGACCCACCATATATTCTCTTGAATATAGAAAATAATATTGTCGTTCTAGGCCACGGGAGGGTACGGCACAGTATGGCGCGGCACATATAACGGCGACGTTGTGGCAGTGAAGATGCTATTTGAAGATCGAAAGTCCGCTGCGGGGGTGTCTAAATTCATCGCCGAAGTCGGACTTATGGCTAAGCTGGGTAGCCCATACATTGTGTCGTTCATTGGGGCGACGTGGACGACACTCGAGGCGCTGGCTCTGGTGGTCGAGTACATGAACTTGGGCGATCTGAGCGACTTTCTCAGGCAGCACACTCCGGGCGAGTTTGCATGGCCTGCCAAGCGGCAATGTGCCATGGACGTGCTCCAAGGACTGATATATTTACACGATCAAAAGATCATACACAGAGATATCAAGTCGCGCAATGTACTGCTGGACACTGCGAAACCTTCCAAGTTGTCGGATTTTGGAGTGTCGAGAGAAGTCAGCTCTAAAACCATGTCGCAGGAAGTTGGCACATATTTATGGACTGCGCCCGAGATTCTGCGCGGGGACCGGTATACCGTCGCGGCGGATGTGTATAGTTTTGGTAGGATGGACCTGTAAACTGTATGAGTGTATATATATATATACTGTATATATATTTACTGTATATATATATATGAAATGATTGGATAGTTGAATATGTACTGTATAATCTGTACTCGTGGGGTTGTTTATGGATGAGTTGTATTGTGAATGTGCTGTCTAGAATTCCCTATACTAGTGTTTGGACCACCTGGTGTGGTTAGGTATCGTTTGAACTGTGTTGGTGGTGGTGTTGGAGTTATATATATATATCTGCATAAATCATGCGGAATATATATATATATATTCCGCATTATGAATTGTTCCTTGTTATTGTGTACCCTTGTTTGTGTTCGTAGGGCGTCGTGTCAACGGTTTTCTTGTAATATATATCCTCCGTATGATGGGTTATTCCTTGTTTTCGTGTACCCTTGCCTGTGTTTCATAGCACGGTTGTGTATCCAACGCGTGTATTTGTTTGGTGTTTTGCATGGAAGTGTCGGCGCGATGACATTTGCTGACTTGAGCCTCTTTGTTCGTCAACATATACTATATATTTGTGTTTATATATATATATATATATATGGATTACACTGATCGTCTCTGATTGTGATATTTTGTCCTTTTACTCCAAATTTGGACTTTAGCACTGATTCGCCAAATCTATCAATCGATTCTTTGTCCTGACTTTTGTATATAAAGATCGTCCAGTATCACACTAATTTCAGTCACACACTAATTCAGTGTTGAATTGGTCCAAGAATGAATTTGGTTGGCTCCTTAATTCGTGTTGTGGGTTTTGATTGGTCGATATATCGATTCTCTGCCGGTTCAGTAGTGCTGCTCATTCGATTGAGAACCACTCCAATTTCGCATCGACTTGACAATACATATACATATAGGCGTGTTGCTAGGCGAATTCGACTCACACCAGCCCCCGTACCACGGTGTGACTACAACCGACGGCGGCCCCATGTTGGGCGTGTCTATCATGATGAAAGTAATGCAAAACCAGCTCCAAGTGCAAGTCTCGGCGTCGTGTCCTCGCCGCATTGCGTCGCTCGTGAAAATGTGCACTCAAAACGACGCCAAAACCCGACCAACCGCGTCCGAAGTGCTCCAATCGCTGCTGGTGTGGGCAGTCGATGAAGATGTAGGAAATAGCATTTAGCAGTAGTATTTGTGAACTAATTAATTTTATTCGATAAACATAACAGCGTTTCAAGGTGCAGTGGACAAAGGGATGTACTAGTACATACATCCCTTTGTTTCATTTGATACGAAACAATGCTCTTTATTTACGACGCCGAGTATATATCATGCAGTTATTAGTATTGCAGTAATATTAGTACTGTAGTAAATTATTTTATTATTTTGCATCCCTGTACTATATCGTAATATATATTACTGTACCTAGCTACTAGTAGTATTTTATTTTACATCCCTGTACTTATCTCCACGACCAAAACATCATCCACCGAGATCTCAAGTCCCGCAATGTGCTCCTGGATACCCACAAGTCCAGCAAGCTGTCGGACTTTGGAATTTCCAGGGAACTCGTGTCTCGAACTACAGTGCGGGAATAAATGTTAAGACATTCGGTAATTTGGACATTTCCTATGTTTTGCCGAAAGTATTGCCACTAAAAATAGATCCATCGATTGCCAACAACTAGCTCTACTAG